TCAGTTCTCGCCAAGCCTGAGTGTGTCTGTTCTGGCATCTCCCGACATGGGGCCAGATCACCGCCGGCAATGCCGGAGCCCGCGCTAGCGGATGTGGGACGCCGACGAGCAAACTCTAAAGTCACAGTTTCGATCAAAATCATGTGTTGGATTCATCTTCAGCAGTGACCGATGCCTTCATCTATGACCATTCCGGAACTGGAGCCAGGCGTCACCTGTTGTTCGACGCTCTGACTGCGCTGGCTGATTTCAGAGGTTTCCAAGTATCTCGACGCAGGCAGGATTGAGGCAGTGAGGGTCTGCGCTTGATCAAACGAATGCTGTTGCGTGCATGCGTGCATGTGCAAAGACTCGCCTCGAACAGTGTAACTTGTTGGGGTTGATTTCGAATGTTGCCAGGCTGTGTAGGACTGAGGCTGCAAGGTTGTGACCGAGTGCATGACATGCAATCCCGTTTTCGAGCTTGATCTCTTGCTGCTGAGTTCGGCTTCCGCTTGGGCCAGTCAAGCATGGTGCGGCAGCCCGGTTTATTCCGGACATGTATGTATGGGTGGACGCAAGTAGTTTCCACATTGAAAACATGAGGCCAGGACACAAGCCTCACATGACGACAGCAGGAGGCCGGGACCCAAGCCTCAGCGACGACAAGAGGCCAGGACCCAAGCCTCACGCGTTGACAGCAGGAGGCCAGGACCCAAGCCCACACGACGACAGCAGGAGGCCAGGACCCAAGCCTCACACGACGACAGTAGGAGGCCAGGACCCAAGCCTCAGCGACGATGGCAGGCGGCCAGGACCCAAGCCTCACACGACGACTGCAGGAGGCCAAGCCTCAGCGACGACAGGAGGCCCGGACCCAAGCCTCACGCGACGACAGCAGGAGGCCAGGACCCAAGCCCACACGACGACAGCAGGAGGCCAGGACCCAAGCCGCAGTGACGACAAGAGGCCAGGACCCTAGCCTCGCAACCGGAGGCCAGGACCCAAGCCTCAACCTGAAAACAGGTAATCGGCCTCCGCTTGGGCCAGTCAAACACCTTGTGCTGCCGCCCGGTCATGGCGTTAAGTAGGCGCAGGGGGGCAGTGAGCCTTCTATCATCCACTGCCCAACGAAGACGGTGATGGAAGTGCTGTGAAGCGATCTGGGACGCC